TTTATCTACTTTCAAAGAGACAGAAAGTAATAAAGAAATTTTTTTACTGTTAATTATTTGCAAATTCAAAGAGTATTAGTGAAGTTTTTTAAATGACGATGTCATATGATTATATATAAAAATTATAGTAAAATTTGTGTAACCTATCTGACTAATCATATGAATGTCTTCCTATGAACTAGGAGCTTTCTCAGGATATAAGTAATCATAACATTACAATTTATCATTATAATGATAGGAACGCTACTGTTGCATGATTGTCGAGAATATTGCACAAAAAATCTTTTAGCTAAGGAAAATAAATATATGTATAGATTTAGTTGAAATAATAGCAAAAATAAGTTAAAGCTAGTCAAAATTTAATATTAAAATATATAATCTCCTCTGATCTCCAAGAAAGATCATACACATTTATAACTGAAGTGGACGGATTTTCGTTATTTATTTTACTGATCTCAGATGAATGGTATAAATAATTCACAAGTAGTTTTAGCAAAGGTTGTTTATCGTAAATTGTGATGATTTGTTTGTCTTTTGATCTAAAAAATCTTTCGTCGCGTTGATACTTCTCAATTTTTTCTTATTGATAAATTTTAGACAATTTTAATATGAGAGAAAAAATTGCCAGCAAATCACATTACATATATTATTCGATCAATTATTTGTGTGAATTCTTTAAGAATTGTTATTTAATTTTCCAGTTTTCTTCAACTTTACCTAAAAATGTTGAGATTTGGTTAAACTGTTTAATTATCTTGTTAACTGCTTTACTAAAGGTTGATAGTTAGGTTCAAGAGATTTCATAATTCCAGATTAATACATGGCAAATTTTAATATTTATGGGATCATTAAACATTTCTTCGTAATTTAGATGATATTTAAGGTTAATAGTTTTCAAGATTGCTTTCATTTCAATCTAATCAAATAAATAAGAAATTGGCGAAAATTAGTAAATTGTTACAAATGCAATTGTTAATAATAGAATTTAACAAACCTGCGCTTTATTTTCTTTTTTTCTATTGATTCTTCTTGATCAATTTTCATTATATCATCTGATTTATCATTGTCATTAATATGTTCGCCTTTATTTCATTTTTTATTACTATCTTTTTATTCAAATTCATTACTATTGCTTTCATTCGACTTATAAATTCTTCTCTTTAGTTCTTCATTTTCCTTGCTGAAAGAATTATTAATATTGATTAATAAACTAAAATCCTTTTTTAACTCTTTGGTAACTTTATTTGTATTTTGATTTATTTCGTAATTTTTTTTTCAAATTTGAACATTTATCATGTAATTCATTTAATTTTACGCGTAATTCTTGATTTTTTGTAATTAATAATTTAAAATTAACCAAATTCAGAAATAAACTTGTAGATTTTGATACATTAATATATTTTGAGAATTTATACCAACTAATAATAAATCAGTATTATCATTATCATCATTATCATCATTGACAATTTCTACAATTTTTTCAGTTTCTGTCTCTTTACGTTTTGAGTATAATTTTAGAATTTGGATGTTTTTTATATTTTTCTCTAAAGGATTCAATTTTTTCAAGCTCTATTTCAGTTAAATGTGAAGAAGATTGTGAATATTTATTAATATTGACCAAAAAAACTGGTAGCACATGTGAGATAATGTTTGAGTATTTTTTTAGATATTTCTTGTTGAGATATAATTAAATTTTATTTGAAAAACAAATTTTTAAAAATTTTTTAATGAAAAGATAGTGAAAAGAGAGAGTCGAATTTAGTAGGCTTTTATAGCTTAAAAGTAGCCACCTTTTATCTTTAAAATTATTAAACTTTTCTTAAACTATTTTTACATGATTGATATATTTTTTACATAAATTAATATATTTTTTACATGATTAAATTATTAAATTATTTTTCTATAATTAAATGATTTTTATATGATTTGCTTCTAAAATTAAACCTTGCATGAAAATTTTATGGCGTAACATTAGAAAATATATATTAATGCAATTACTTCAATTTGATATTATCTTGTAAAATAAGTTGACGAAGGAGAACAATTTCTGCTTTATTCAGCAATAATGTGAAAATAATTACAATTTGTACTTTTCATAAAAGTAGAGCAGTTTCTAGAATACTAAATGAGAAATCTGAAGGATTAATACATTCACATGGAAGAAGAATAGTTTATTGTAATTGTTCTAAATGTAAAGGAAATTTAGTAGATATTCATACACAAATGATTCACGAGACTGGTAAAGATTCAGAAGATGATCAAGGTTCAGAAGATGATCAAAAAGATAATAATCCTTTATCATCATTAAAAGATAATTTAATATCGCTTGATGAAAATTCAGAGAATGATGTTGAAACTGTAATTCAACAAATGGTATTAGAGAAAGCAGAAAATGATTTATCAACTAATTTACCTTGACAATAATTGAGAAGATATATAAATCAGTAAGTAAGTATTATTGAATAAGAAGTTAAATTATTTACTACCGATAAAGAATTAAATATTTCTTATGAAAGTAAATCTAATAATAATGATAATAATGATAATAAACATACTAAAATTTTTGAGAATTATTTCCCATCTAATAATAGGCCATTTCAAAATCAAATTCATCTAAAGACAACAATTAATACAATTAATACACAATTTTTGTGGAATTTACTGTAGATAATAAGCTTTTGTAGAAAATTTAATATTCTAAAAATAGCAACAAAATTGTTAATTCAATTCATAAAGCTGTGATTGACAGAAATTGGTAATTCTGAATTTGCTGAATTTCCTGGTATTTTATACCTAGCAAAAAATGCTAATAATCAATATTATATCTTTGCAGTATGTCTGAAATGCTACAAATTATATTACAAGAAAGAAGTAGAAGAATTTTGTCAAGGCGAAAATCTTGCAGTTATGAAATATAACCATATTGAATTCCTAATTTAGTAATTAGAAAATCAAAAAATGTCACATACCTTTATCAGAAAAATCATCATTATTAAGTGGTCGTATTTCAATTTGATCTGAAAAAATATTTCTATTTGCAAGTATTAGAAAACAATTAGCATCTATATATTGCCATTCTGATTTGAAAAAAATTTACATCACTAGTCTGAATGCAAATAATTCGATAATATTTTAACTGATATTTACAACAGTCAGGTTTGGCAGAATTTTAAAGATACAAATATGAAAGGTTCAGCAAATTTTTTTCAGATTGAAGTAGCTGATTTACATCTTGATCTAATACTAAATCTGGATTAGTTCCAGCAATTTGACAGAACCACTTATAGCACTGGTATAATTTACATAGCAATCTGTAATTTGCTATGCAATATTCATTTTAAGCATGAAAATATGCTGATTCTCAAAATATTACCTGGCCTGAATAAAGTGAGTCTTCATAAATAAACCATTATCTTACGCTGATTGTTAATGAACTGCAATTACTTTGAAGCAGTTTAACTTTAGACTGCATATTTGAATATCCAAGAGAAAAAATAATCTGCACAGTCTTAATTCTTGTTTCATGTGACATTCCTGCAAGCAAGAAAATTTGTGGACATATTTCAGCTCTTTTATTATATTATAGATGCAAGAAAAAAGCAAATTACGAAAATTATAAGCACAATTTTGCTGGAATGGATAATATAGATGAATGGTTTATTAGCTGAAATTCAGATCAGATTCACGAGGATGCATTCAGATGCTGTTACTGTAATTCAAATTCTGCAAGAGATCATTTTGTAAAAATTACAGGTGTAAGATGATCTGAATTACTGCAGTTGACATATTTCAATCTAATTTGTTTTTTGGCGATTGATCCTATGCATTACCTTTTTTAAATATTGTAAAATGAATAGTTAAATGAATATGAGTTGATGAAAAAGTATTGAAACCAGAATCTTTGAGAAAGATTCAAAGAAAAATGAACCAGTTCCAAGTACTGGTAGAATTTTAGGAAAAGTGAAATGTGGTGAGGGTTTTGTGAATTTTACAGCCGATTAGTAGTGAATATTTTTTACTATTTATGCTACTGTATCACTTTGAAAGCATCTTCCTAATGTAGATAGAAAGATTCTTTCATATTTTGTAAAAATTTGTTTGATTTTGATTAGACGAATTGATCAATTTGATTTAATAAAGGAAGCTTATCAAATGTTAGTTGAGGCTATAAAAATAATTGAGCAAAACTATAGCTGAGACTTTATAACTCTGAACCTTTATCTTTAGCTTCATTTGCACAAATGTGCAAAAGATTTTGGGTCTCTTTATGCCTTCTGGTATTTTTCATTTGAGCATATGAATGATGTACTAGATGAGTTGATCTTTAAAAACATATGACAAATTTATTTTTCTAAATTATTTTATTTTTTTAGATTCTTTTTCTAATAGCCATCAGAAAATTGAACCAGAGCTCATGCGTCATATTATAAGCGATATCTAAATCAATAATATTATTAGTTCTGGAGTGACTACAAAAGGTCTTGATATACTTAATACTAAACCTTCAGTAGGTTCAGTTTCAGAAAACGACGAATTTACTTCAGAAAAAATGGAATGATTTTTACTATACTCACAAAATATTAAAGAATCTCTGATTTATGGATGTAAAAAATTTTCAGAAGAAATGCTAGGTCCTTGTTCAGAAAATGTTGTAATGTCAGATGAAATGCTTAACATAATGGTCAAATATTATAAAGTGACTTATACAAGTTATAATTTTAGAAGATTATTTGAAGGGAAATTTGACGATTCAATTATTATTTGTGTCAAGATGAACCAATTTAGAAGATGTAGAATTGGCTCTGAAACATTTGGCTCAAAAATATTATTTTGTTATATAAAAAGCTTGTTTGTTTTAGCCAAATTCATAACAAAGGCTAACAATATCAAATGTTATCCTGACTAAATCCAATATATTTTTTAAACACACAATTGACTTACCAAATAACAGACTTACTGAACATTTTTTAGCATATATTCGATGGTATCAACCTGCAAGTCCTAGAATTCAATATTATTTTAATAGTGATAATATTTATAATATTGAGCTATAGCATTTTGATTTTTATCAAAAATTGCGCAATTGTATTATTTTGATATATCATATTATTTGCCAATTTATTTTAGTAATTTATCGAATCCCAGATAATCCAAACTAAAGGAATAAAAAAGAATATTTAGCTGTGAATCTGATTAATAGAAAATATCATATTCGCTAGATTTTGGAATTCGTATGATTTTATTACGATTTTTATTGAATATTTCAAAATTTTTTATTATTTACAATTTTCCGATATACTGTATATTTCTGATTTTTATTATTATATAATAATTTTATATTCAATTTTCGATCCTTTAATATTATTTATATATTAAATTTTTATAATAAATTGGTATAAAATTTAATAAAATCAGACACAAATCATAATGGCTGAATTATGAATGATTTTGGATTTAATAAAATCAGACACAAATCATAATGTTTGAATTATGGATGATTTTGAATTTGATAAAATCAGACACAAATCATAATGTTTGAATTATGGATGATTTTGGTTAAAAATCAAATTGGTTTCAAAATTGAGCTGAAACTTGGCTGAATTGTCATATGTCCTATTTGCCTTATTTTGACTAATGTAATGAATTATTATAAAAATAATATAATTATTTAAATCAGAATTTCTTTCTATTAATCTTAGAAATATAAAAATATCACATTAAATTATAATTTTAATGTAATTATTAAATAAAAATTATTTTAAAGGTTTAAAATGTTTTAAAATAATATAATTTTTAGATTTATTACTGTTAGAAATATAATTATAATTTTATTAGATATGTTATAATTAAGGTTGCTCATCTAAACTAAAGATGGGCATCATAATTAAGAAGTTGCAACTCGGTAAGTTACAACTCCTTGTAAATTTATTTTAATATAAAAATTCATAAAATGTTGCAACTCAAAGTGTTGCAACTTAAG